ACATCCTGTATATTGTAAACATATATTAAATACAGGGTATCCCGAAACTACCGGATGTTATTTTAATGGCAGATTTTTTAGAACATTTTAAAATGAAAACTTTCATACAAAAATGTCGAGGTTATAATAGTTTTCAAACGGGATGCGATTATATTTGACCAATAACAGAATTGAGAATTCGCGCGCTCAGGCACGTCGAAATGACAAGTGATAAAGGTGCTCCTGTGAATGTCACTTTTTTACGATATTACGATAATCATTGTATAAATTTACAATAACATTGTCATAATATATTTTGCATTCTCTACGCATTGCATTAGTATATTTTTTATACGAATAATAGTTGTAAGATATCTTAACAAATATGATTCAAATAAAAATAAAATATTTTAACTTAATCTATCAAAGTGTCAATCAATTATTACCATGAAGGTGTCCGCTATTCTATACGGCGTGTGGCATCTTTATCACTTGTCATTTCGGCGTGCCTGAGCGTGTGAAATCGCAACCCTGTTATTGGTAAAATATAATCGCTTCCTATTTGAAAACTATTATAGCCTCGACATTTTTGTATAAAAGTTTTTGTTTTAAAATATTTTAAAGAATTTAACATTAAAATAACATCCGGTAGTTTCGGGACACTCTGTATATGCAATTGTTTGTGTTATTTTTCTACAATTCATTATATTTTCTTACCTATAGTAACATATCCACCTACAGTATCCATCTACTTGGGCAGTGTGGCGCCTATAGCACGATGTATCACGTCGTTTTCCAACGATTAAAGTGAGACCAACTTTTACTATTATATATGGATGGATTTGGTATTAAATGCTCTACAATTACGAATTTTTGTCCTTACAAAAACTTAAAAATTTTGCGAAGGTAACGAATGGAGAGGGGAGGGAGTAAGAATTTTGACATTAAAAAAATGAAATACGCCGTTACAAAAAGTATTAAATACTGTAAAACTTTTGTAGGAAACATTTTTTCATATACCTTATATCTTAGGAATTATTCCATGAAAATGAAAAAGTTAATTTTTTTCAAGGGACTGTTTTAACCTCTAAACCTCGAAATAAGCCGATATAAAAACATATGAGTCTCTTACTTTTTGATGCTCTACAACATATCCAAAGCGTATCAAAATCGGTGATGAACAGTTCTGTCATGTCTCTTGTTAGGCAATTTGGAACCGAGTCACACTAATTTATGTTAACTTCTCTAGGGAGCGAGGAAATGAAATTAAATTTTTTTAATAGCAATCTAAATAAATTCAGTCGGTTAAGCTCGAAAAGACGAATTTAACAACTTATATTTTTATATGTTTATCGTAAAAATTACGACTGCAATGAATTTATAAAAATAACCTACAAAAAATATTGATGTCTGTTCGATCAATCTATCCACGCGGATATCTCAGGAAAGTGTGATGTTAAATGGGAAATCAAAAAAGATTCTTCAATAGAGTTACATTGAGACGATTTTCAGCACGACGAAACTATATTCTTTCGTACTCGATTTTGAGGGAGAAAGGAGAAGGTTAAATTCTTTTAATAGCAATCCATTACAAGAATCCATTACACCAGTTTATAAGATAAACCAGTTTATAAGAATAACTTGATAAGACGAATTCAGTGGTTTATAATTTTAAATGTTTATCGTAAAATTACGGCAGCAGTGAATTTTTGGAAATAGCCTACGAAGTGTATCCATATCTAAAATCAAATTTTGCGCCAATTTTATGTATAATCGTAAAAAAAACTTTTATATTTATTAGATTACGAAAAATCGAAAGAAGAAATAATATTGCATCATACATCGATGTGTTAGAGTCACATATCAAGTAAGACTAAAGCGTTAAACAAAAGGCGTTCTAACCATTTTTCTAACAATTATATAAGATTTCGAGATATTAATAAAAAAATGTTTAATGAACCAGGACACATAATATTGTAAGATGAACTCTATACACATATACACGCATATACACACACTCTATACACACACACATGCATATGTCTACACACACGCACGCGTGCGCGCACGCGCACACACACACAGTTATGTACGATAAATGCCTTCATCTTCTTTAATTAATAGCTTAATAGTTTATGTGGTTTACAACATTGTAAAAGAATTTTATGTTTAGTTTAACGAGTCTTACTTGTACACAAGGAGTGCATCATGAATTGTTAGACACCTAGTACACACACACACGCTCGCACGCGCGCATACACGCACACGCATACGACTCTCTTCCGCAATTTTTGTGGGAGCGTAGAATTGATTGAAATAAATATAGAAGTCCTATATCGTTTTACGATATTTGCAATAATAGTCGAGATATTAATTAAAGAAAAGTGAGTGATTGATATGATAGATAAGCTGTAGTGACGATATGTGCTGTCATGTGGTTGTACATTAAATGAAATTGAATAAAAAAGTTTTATCATTTTGTAAATAACTTTGTACATTTCTAGTTATTAATGAAATAAAATTGTTATATAATTATGCGCGATAATATACAAATCTTCTTAATAACTAAAAATCTGTGTGTTTATTTGTAAAATAATAGAGAACCTTTTGTTCAGTTTGAGCTAATGTACAAATATACAATAACAAACGGTGCTACTACAGCTCATCTACTATATCGCGATCATTCACTATCTTTTTTAATTAATATCTCGAAATTTATTGTGGATATCATGGGACATTTAAGTTCATCTCAATCCAATCTATACCCTCACAAGTGCTTCGTAGAATTTCTAGGACACCCCGTATACACACATACACACACACACACACACACACACACACACACACACACACACACACACACACACACACACACACACACACACACACACACACACACACACACACACACACACACACACACACACACACACACACACACACACACACACACACACACACACACACACACACACACACACACACACACACACACACACACACACACACACACACACACACACACACACACACACACACACACACACACACACACACACACACACACACACACACACACACACACACACACACACACACACACACACACACACACACACACACACACACACACACACACACACACACACACACACACACACACACACACACACACACACACACACACACACACACACACACACACACACACACACACACACACACACACACACACACACACACACACACACACACACACACACACACACACACACACACACACACACACACACACACACACACACACACACATACACACGCGCGCGCGCGCATACACGTATTCACGCACATGCATACACACACACAACACACACACACGTACGTCCACGTGCGTATGTATATACATACATACATATATGCACATATTAGAAATATGTTAAATTGAAAGAAATTTGTTGTATTATAAAGATTCTAAATATGCTTGTACAAATTTATAATTAAACATTTCGGAAATGAAAAAATAAAACTTATTGAAATTTCTATTATACATTATTAGTTCGATCAATATTTGTATTATGTACATGTTATACGTTTATTTTTTGGTTAGAAACCACTTAAGGAGTAACACCTATGTAACCGGCTGAAAATGAGACCTACATTTGGGATTTTTTTTATTTACCGAATTGTGCTATTAAAAAATGAGTTTAATAACTTTATTAGGCATGTAAAAAAGTACAAAAAATAATTTTTTCATTAAACTTTACAAAATGGTGGATCTGCAACAGCGTGAAGGAGACAGTCGATTTAGCAAGATGGTCCGCGGCTAGCAGCATAAATGCTGTAATTTTTGGTCTAGAACAAAGAACAAATTTTTTTTATTTTCTTTACTCCAATACCTAGAGAAGTATGTAACCGTTTATGAAAATATTGATTTTTGATAAAATGGTGAAATTTGAAAGAAAAATGTACCATTTTTCCATGAAAAAATCGAGTAAAATTAGCCGTAACTAAAAAATTTGTAACTTATCAGAAAAATTCGATGTATTTCTCTAGAAAATTTAATTTTTTAAATACTTATTAAAATTGTATTGGTTAAACATTGTTTGAGTTCTACTGCTTTAAAAATGCTGGTTTGAGAAAAATGTGTTTAAAGTTTTGAATGTTAATTATTTTTAGGTTAACAATTAACATTTTTTACTTTTAGTGAATTTACCTTTAGTCTGCGATCCCAGGACCATAAAGTTACCCTTCAGCAGCAAGATTTTCATTCTCTTCATCTTTTCTCGCAGCTTTTTAGCTTGAAGATTTATAATTTCTACACGATATTAATATTTTTACAAATAATCGAATGAAAATAAATGTATGTCTAAAAATACTTGACATATATGTACCATTTAATTTATGGTAAAAAATCATGTTAAAAACTCATAAATTTTTTTATACTATTATTGTATTTACCTTCTTTCATATAACTTTCTTAAGGATCTTTATATAATATTCAAGAATATTGGAAATATTTACGTGTTCTAATGATTCATCCTGTATATATAATTATATATGTCTTGTGCACTATTATAATACTACCTTTATATTTTTTTGTTATGTTTTATAAAAGTCTATAACCTTCTTTTACCACACATATAGAATGAGATAGTATATATATTCTGAAAACAAAAATAACATAACAAGAAAAGTATACTTATATGTAAGATTTAATGTATTTTCCTTAATTATTTGTTTTTTTCTTTATTATCTAGCATGTTAGAAAATAAGTTTTTGATTTTATATTATACAAGTATAACTCTATGATTATGCAGATTAAAGTAATTAAATAAAAGTTTGTTTTGTGTAGCATTGAAGAGAGAAATGTATATTTGATATGTAGCATTAAAGAGAGAACTGATAATAATATTACTGAATATTTCGTTTAAATATTAGTTACTAAAAACGAATTTGCTAACGAGACTTGATCTTACATATCATTCTTAATTTTGCTTTCAATTATTTGAAAATATTTACAGACAACTGTGGAAGAATTGGTTGCAGCAACAGCTTATTTTGATTTGTTTCTTCGCTCTGTTACCGATCCTGGCTTATTGCGATCACTTATTAGATTTTTACTTGAAGATAATTATGACGATTGTAGAATATTGGACAGTCTAATACAGAGGATTTCTTCTCGATCAAGGGTAAACTGCAAAATATCCTTTTTAAAATTCGTTTTGAGAACATTTTCAGAACATATTTGTCCTTAATATTTTATTTTTCCAATTTAGTTATGTATAGTAACTCTGGCATTGTTTGAAACTCTGGTTAATTTAAACTGTGAAGACGTTATGCTGGAACTATGCTTGGGTGCGTTAAACCCATGTTCACATGTAATGCTTTCCCAACGTAGTCGATTGAGAGATGTAGATCCCTTTGGACGGGCAGCGGAAAAATTTTTATCCTTGACACCACGTTGTTGTTGTTCTACATATATATCTTCGGACTCACATACAAATTCCTTACCTGCAACTATGTCATGTACATATGACAAATATGGAAGTACAGTGGCTGACTCAATGAAATCATTACCAGCAGCAATAAATTACGGTACTAGATTATCAGATAGTTTATATGGAAATTATCACGCATATCTTTGCGATGCGAGACAAAAAATAAGAGCTTGCCAGATTGCATGTTCTAATTGGTCTTGCCGGTACGACGGTAACTTACCACAGAATAATAATACTAGCAGTATAACTACATTGATAGATGGAAATATTGCACTTGATCAATCGCAAAAGAAAACAGAAGAATCAAAAACGTTACTGCTAGAAACAATGAGGAATGCAATGAGTTTGTGTGAGAATGAAGAAGGTACTCAGACGGATAATATATTACTCAATATTCAATTCTTACTGTCAGAAGGCAAAGATTTTAATAGCAACGAACATAATATTAAAAACGAATTGAACGCAAATATTGTATTGTCTCTGGACGAGCAAATACAATTAGATACTGATATCGCTGAATTATTCAGCGAAGATATTGGAATGGTAAAATATACAGAGGAAATTTCTTTAGATAAAAAAGAATCAGATAACTGTATAGACGAATCAACTACAACTATAAATTCGTTTATGTCGCTAGGAGAAAGTAGTGGTTATGAGAGTTTTGCGTTGAAAGGATTAACAGAATCAACGCCAAGCAATAAACTGAACGAAGATCGTATGAATGAACACGAAGAAACACATATATTAATTAAAAAGGAGCCTAATATTCATGTCTTCTGTGGTGCTGCAGAATTAAATCCGTCGATAACTACAGAAACATTAAATAATAAATCAAATAAGGATATTTCGTATCGACAAGATGTTTTTAATGGACAGCCAAATGTTGGTATATTTTTAGATGTGATTTTACGGAAGCTCGAATGCATGACAAGCAACAATTTATACGTTAATTTGCATCTCACGGGTCTTATCAGCAGACTAGCAATATACCCACAACCATTATTACAGTCTTTTCTGTTGAACCATTCTCTTGTATTCCAGCCTAGCATCAGATCTTTGTTTCAGGTACATATTTATTGAAAGATCAAATTCGATTTTTAAACAATTATATATATACACACATATCGTAATGCTGGATAATAAAAGCGTTTATTATAATACTGTCCAGCGTTAAGCATAGCCTGCCGTTGCTAAAAAATTGTTAATAGATTCAGATATTTTAGATGAGACTTCACTTAAAGAGCTTGTCCCATCATATTATATGCACTTATTTGCTAATTTTCTATCGTTAATATCTCAATCCTTATCGTAGCTGTTTGCAAAGTGAAAGACTTTTTCTATTCAGTTTGATGATCTGTATATGAGCAGACGTATATGTTCCGTCAAACATCTTGTGTGTGTGTGTATGTATATAATTCATTGACTATATTACTATATTACTAATTATATTATTATATGTTACTAATACACGCACACATACAAACAAGATAGTTCATCTATTTTTATTACATAAAATATATCCATTATTTTTATAAATAGAATAAAATGTCTGTAAATGGAATTATTCAGTTTGAAAAAATATATATTACAGTTATATTAGTATTTTCGAATTGAATAATTTACATATATATTTTGTGCGCGCATACATATGCGCCAACACACTTGAATATACTGTGTATACAGGATGGTTTACCATAAGTATATAAATTTTTTTTCATAATACATATTTTTTGCACAAAAGTCTGAATGAAAATTTTATGATATAAACATTTCGGATATAATTAATGTTCTGTGTAATCAACAGTTATGATCACCAGTCGTGAAAATATTAAATAATATATTAGATGACCATTTTTGTTTGACTTTAGATGGTATTGTCATGTTTGCTTTTATAAATTAGATTATAGTCTTTTAAACGTTTATGTTTGTAACTCTTCTCATGATGAGTACAAAGATTAATTTAAGGATATCGAAGATCAAATAATCTAGTATGAATTAGATATTTTGACACAAAATATACTTTTTGAATAACCAATAGAATAGGTAAATAAAATATAATAAAAAATATAATATAATAAAACACGGCCATGTTTTGAGCGCCGAGTTTTAAGCGTAAAAGCGAGGCTTGCAAAGAACTCGCAAGTATTGTTTATCCTGACCTGAATGGCCGTGTTATTTTACGCGAACCAACTAGTTGAGCGGAGACAAGATTATGTATTTCGCTATAACTAAAGCCGATGCATTTTTGAGTCTCAATCGATTCTTCGGGATTATATTGTTTAATAAAACCGTCTTTATTTTTACTCTCTGTGTCCTTTAAAATCGATATTTTTAGTTCAAAGTCGAAAATAGCCAGATTATTACATGATTACGAATCGTCAGAAAATTGTGCATCTGAATCTTTGTTCTGTGGGATAGCGCCACAAGAGGGATTGTGTATCTGAACCTTATTCCGTGGGATGGCGCAACAAGAGAGATGAGCTCATCGATCAATAAATCGATATACAGGATATATCATCATCCGTGCCACTTCTTTTATTCGATTACCGAGTGTCATACGGAGATGAACAAAAAATTTTTTATAGAAAACCTTATCCATATAATCAATTGGTGCTACTATGATTTTCCGGAAAAAATTGCAAGTGATCGAAACCGAAGAAAACTTCAAAATTTTAAATAGGAACATATCTCGAATATGATGTCACTCAATAGGTCTCTTCAAAATAAATAACTTTCATTAGAAACATTTTGTTGTTGTTTATAATTGTTGTTAATTACAAATATATTTTTCTTTCTTAACTGTTGAAGATTTTTACAAAGATCTATTTATCATTGTTTCATGATAATCTTATTTTTACTGAAGTTATGTTACAGTTATGCACGTAACACACACACAAAGAAGAATATTCACTTTAACTAAATAAATCACTTTAACTAAATAAGTAAAACTAAAATCTTATTTTTCACTAATTTTGATAGCAATTAACTTTGTTAGCAATGTGTTATGAAACAGCCGTTATAGCGACGACCGTGTAAAAACTCTGCGCGTCTCAAGCCGCGCGCGACCGAAGACACAGGCAGAGCGATAACTTCGAACATACAGCGAGCAAAACCGAGAGCGAGCGAAGTCGCCCGAAACAACGCGACAAGTTACATAGCGAGCGGTATATAAGACGCGATCGTCCACCTATAGACATGATTCACTCAACCTTGTTCTCACTAGCAAGACGAAGCTCTCTGAGCGAACATCCAGTTGTGAATATGCAACTATCCGATTCAGCTCACAAACCCGCGGATACGCGGCGAGTTATTTCTAGTGGTCGCGAATACGCGACTCTCTGATCCGACTCAAGGATTGCGAATACGTGACGAGCTACTCCTGACGGTCGTGAATACGCGCCTCACCGTTTCGGCACCGGAACCTCGCGGATACGCGCCTCCATCGATCCCATTCTGAACTTTCTACAACACTAGGGAACCTGACGAGCAAGAGCATTAGGAGTACAACACCAGCTCTAATATATCACTCGACCGAGTAAATATAATAGCATTCGAAAAACCACACACACCACAAAACTTAGAGCATCGTGTACACGCACTGGCGTTAATGCTATCTGTATATCCGTGTGACTTGCACACGATAACGCGTCATTCACACACTGCCTGTAGGTGAGGCACGAGCAGCACGGAGTAGCGGAAGGGGCATACAATCGTCGGACGGCTTGGAGAGGGAATAGTAGTCGCGGCGATTTTCTATCGCAGACGTAAAGGCCAAATCACACTAGCGATTGGCGATTGATGATTGACGATTGAAGATTGGAACTTGACTAATTGGAACAAAGCAAGCCAAGGTTGAAACTCGTTGATTCGTCAAAATCTAATCTTCAATCGTCAATTATCAATCGCCAATCGTTAGTGTGATTTGGTCTTTAAGAGCGAGAGAGATAGCATTATGAGACATGGCGGCCATGGATATCACTTTTAGCTTATTTACAGCAAGCGGCAGCGTGTGGAAGGGATACACACACAAGCGAGCGACAGTGTACGTGTACGCTCGACTCTTCGGCCGAAGCTTGTTCGCCGGCTTGCTTGTGTGCGTATTCCTCCACACGCTACTGCTTGCTGTAAGTAAGCTAAAAGTGGCACCCTTAGTAGCGGCTAGAAATGCTGTCCTAAAATACGTGTGACGCACACTAAGGAAACGCTCGATTTACACTGTCTCATCTATACGTGAGGAATACGCAGTGCCCGATGACTCGCTCGAACGTCCATGCATTTTTTCTTGTTAGCAAGAAAATTACTGTAATGTAAAAGGAAATCTTGGGGAAGTGTTTTCAAGAGGCTTTGACAAGTGCTTCTTAATAGCTCTTGAAAAAAAAAAATATTAGATTTATTTCAATATAGAATACCGCATCAATATAGAATACTGCAACAATACAGCGTTTATGTAGGTTGTCGAAGTAGAGTATTTTTAATTTTGTGACGATGCACACCTGCATCGTCACTAATACCGGCCCGACCGACCACCAGTCGGGCCGTGCACCAGCGTGTTGCGCCACCACAAACGCTGCAAGGCCTATTTGACAATACGCGTAAACAAAACAGTCGCGCGATATACGACCTCGCGACATCGAGTATGCAAAAGAATCGATCAAGAGCGCGCGCCGCGGGTACGCGACAAGCACGTGAACAGCGAGCGAAGACAAAGCGGATTCGGGTATATAATCCGCGACGCCGAATTAATCGAGACCAGACCGATCCGGACCGTCAACCGAACTCGATGCTATACAGCGGAGAGCAAGGCCTACGACCGACTCGTCTCTGTCTCCTCAGCCTACCTAATTTCACATCCTCGCGAGCAAGGACCGAAGCCAGTACATTAGCTGCGCTCTGTCGAGCTTTCTCGACCCTTGTTCTTAGCCTCTCGACGGGCAAGATTGAGAGTGAATACGCCGATACATCGACTACTCATTCCCTATCTCGTCACATGCGAAACAGGCGTGCAAGCGAGCGCGTCTCCACCACGAACGCGAAAACAGCGTGCCGTGCTGTGCCACGAACTCAATACCGCCGACACCGCACGGTCCCCGCGACCGACCTCACGAGCCGCGCACGAGTCGCGACCGCCGAATCGCGACACGCGACCGCCTGCCGAATATCCGAGGCGAGCCTAGTCTTCGCGCTATACGCTCTGCCTACCGTCTTAACTATCGCGGCACACCGAAACCGCGACCCGGTAACTGGCGTCGTCTCCCCGGAGATCTACACACTAACACGCGATTACTCTGTACTAAGGCGCAATAAATCTTTTTGTTATTTTTATTTATTACAATCCGCATCGTATTATTTCACGAACCCGGACTCCGACGAGCGAATAATCCATCGGCACCGACAACAACCGACACGCGGAGTTGTTACAATTTTAATGTTGCATAACCTCCTGAAAAGCCTTCCTCAAGATCTCTTTTTACATTACAGTAATTTCTTTGCTAACAAGAAAAAATGCATCGACATTTGAGCGAGTTATCGGGATACCGCGTATTTCCCACGTATAGACGAGACAGTGTAAGTCGAGCGTTTTAAAAACATAAAAAAATTAAAAAGATTTAAAAAATGTTTTACCTGCTTCTTATAGTCAGAAATATTTTTTAATTTTTTTCAAACAATTGCTTTACTGATTTCCACAACATATATTTTCTTCATTAAAATTGGTTCAGCTGTTTTGAAGAAAAATCATTTTTTTTTTTATTTTACTTTCTCCTTCCGTAATCCCTCACAAAAATGCGATTTCAAGGTTATTATTTATTATAATTTAGTGTAATTCAACGTAGTTTAGTATAATTCAATGTAATTCAGTATAATTCAGTATAATTTTATATCACATGGATGTCAACTTGTGAACAATTTGGGCTTAATATGAGCGGAGCCAAATTTACCTACCTTATCCGATTACACTTTTTATATATTTACACATAATACATACATAGTATTGTACATTACATACACATACACAATATACAAAATCCAACGGGCAACCTACTCGCGGTGCACATCAGGTAATGCCAAATGCTGGTGATAGATAATGAAAAGCATAAATTAGGAGTGTAATATATCCGTGAGAAAAAAATCGTACGCCTAATTATTTTTTTAATTGAAGAGGATGAACCAATCTTTATTATCTCGTAAGTGAAATTCACAATAAAAATTTTTGTTGTTTCTATCCTAGGAAAAAATGTTTATAGAGAACGATAGAATAAAATTCTATCGTTCTATCGTTTTCTATCGTTTTGAATATTATATTTTAGTTCGTGAATTTACAAATGTATAGTATGAATAGTATTCTTCGTATGCAATAGAATACAATAGTGATAGAATTTCTATCGTCAGTTTCCTATATAATACAAATAGAACCCGATTCTTATAGAACCAGATAAAATACGATGGGATTTATATCTGATGCTCGCGAATGCTGATGCTTGCGAACGATAAAGCTTATAGAAAACAATACATATTGATAGAAATTATATCGTTCTCTATCAACTTTTTTTTACTAGAGTATGGATCCTATCTAAATATACAATTTTTATTATAAAAATTACGTTTACTTTTTTGGGGAGGAAAGAGGATAGTGAGACAAGAATGTTATAAAACAAAAATCTAACAATAATTCCTTATTCTTGAAACTAAAAAGAAAGTGTTCATATGATGATTTTCCACGGAGTAATATTCATTCAAATTTCACTTATTTTTGTCTATAATTTTTTTATACCATATTTTTTAGTAATGTATTTAACGTGATAATAAAAATGGTCTTATGCCAAATTTAAAACTAGGGAAGTCAGGCTATTCTTCTATCATGACTAATCTAATATTAGTATTGACCGTTTAAAAAAAATTTCTTATTTTACAACTTTATAACTAAAACGTGGTGGAGTTTTATTTTGTTGAAAAATCAAACCTGTTCAAATTTCAATATATATCTTTTCTAATACTTTGAATAATTTGTAGTAGCTCTAGATATAATGTAATAGCTCTAGTTATAATATAGGTATATATTATTGAATATAGCTAACGTAGATATTACATTCGGAAAGAAATAAAACTTTATAAATTAGTCCTTCAATATTTAGCGAGCTAAACATTTGTGCATTTATCTTGTTTATTAAACTTTCATTAATCTTTAAATTTAATACTTTGTACTTTTTGTTTAATAACAAAATAAAATTTTTAAGGTATGTTTTTTTTTGTCTTATCGATTTTCATCTCATCTTATCGATTTCCTTGACTACCAAACATGATAGGATAAAAAACAAAAATATAGTAAATAAAAATACAGTAAAAAATACAAATATATGGTTATATTATGTACGTGTATATTTGACAGATATTTAATGTAATTTTTTTAAAAAGTAAAGTTCCATTTAAAACACTTTATTCTTTATTCTTTTAACTTATTTTTATCAGATTTCTATTTTTGTAAGATTTCTATTTTTGAAATATAATTATTACTTTTTTCGTTACACTACCGGTTACAAGATATTTTATGTGTATCCTCGCATTTGTATGTATGCGTGTGTCGCATATATAATGTATATGCAGAGTTGGAAACGCGCGAGCGCGTTACTTTAAGAAAGTAACTCCTTATCGTTACTCGTTACTAATTTTAGAAAGTAACTCGTTATTATTACTAGGAAAGTGATGATTTGTTATTTTTTTACTACTTTTTTATGATACTAAAACAAAATACATAATTGATTTTAAAATGAAATTATTGTTTTTAAGCTTAAATTATTATTTTTAGTGTAGCTAGTCCATCTACAAAGAATGAACTATTCAAAATTATAATATATATGTGTGTGTGTGTGTGTGTGTGTGTGTGTGTGTGTGTGCGTGCGTGTGCGTGTGCGTGTGCGTGTGCGTGTGCGTGTGTGTGTGTGTGTGTGAAAGAACTAATATTTTGAGTTTGATTTCATCTTCTTATCTTTTATTATTTATACAACATCTATTATATATCAAACTTATTGTCAGTACAGAATCAAATTTTGCAATTTGGCTCTTAAAAATTTTTTATAAATTTAATAGATATGCTTACAAGGAGATAACGCCAACTGCAAAATTAATTTCGGAACGAGGCATAGCGCGTTCGATAGCCGTAATATAGAATATTAAAACCCTAAATGGGTTTGGGTGAATAGACTTTAGTTTCCGAAATATTACAACGCAAAGTGAGAGTTACGAAGTTGTGATACATATGAAACATAACGTGGCACTCCTTTTCATCGAAGCGGCGTTGCTGAACAGACTAAGGCTCTCGAGCCGGTCCTTTATGCGCCGGCGGCAAGCGTTTGAGGTCACCCGGTATGCAATATTTTTTTTTCGTACTATTGGACATATACAGGGTGGGCCAAATGTATGAATACACCAGAATAAATCTTCAGGGCAGGATTTTCGGAAAAAGTGACCTCAACAAAAGTTGCTCGGGCCTATAAGAACCCTCTACTAGTGACCTTGGATTTAACCTTGGCTCCAATCTTCAAGGTTATTTGGAGGTCAACTTTGCTTTTTTAAATAGAAACATGTATTTTTTTATTACGGAATTTTATTCTACGTAAAGAAACAAACAACTTTTGTTTGAGAAACTTTTTCATACGATCTCTATTTTCTAAGATAATTACGGAAATATCTACAAAATTATTGGTTTAAATAATTTTTTACTCGAATTCTACAAACTTTACCGAAAAATAACAAGAGATAAAAATTATTTATTTTCTTTTCATACAGCTCTAAGAATGTTTTCAGAATTTTATATAAACTTTTAAACTACTATT